TGGAGGCCATTTGGTGGAAAAAAGTTTAGAAAATAGCAAAAAAAATGACTATACAGCAACAGAAATGATAAATGTAAATGAACATGATAAAGAAGATTATTCAACTAGCGACACCATGCCCTCGTAACCCATAGTGGGTTGACACTGGATTCTTTCCTTATTTGTTCGTTAACTGTCAATTAAAATTAGGAAAAAATGAAAATCTTATTAAGCATCAATTGGACTGAAGAACGATTGCCTGTTTGCCACCCTGAGCCTTAGTTCAATTTCCCACTGGGCCTCCTTCACAGGTGCTGGACTCTGTCTATGATCCATAAGGTCCCTTCCACCTCTGCAGTTCTAAAATAGGCCAACTGCTGGATAGCTAAGTGGCTTAGGTCTCTAGCTGTGGAGCAAGAAGTTGGAAGTTCTAAGATTAATTGAAGGCTGTATGGGGACTGCATATCCATCTAATTAGAAGACTGCTTGCAACTTAACTGGTGGAGCTATCAGAGGGAAAAAGAAATATTTGTGGATTTCAGCTCTCGGATCTCTTTCCCCACCCCGTGGTCAGCATGGCCATTAGTCTACTGACTGAGGACTTCTTTTAGTCAAAAAAGTAACATTCCAGCCCCATGTGGTTCTGATGAGTTTAACCGAGTCATCTTCTCATATGAAAGGTGGCTCCATGCTGGTTGTACATATGATACAAATCTGATTTAGGAAAAAATATTTGAGCATCCCTGTGGGCAAAACAACAGACAACTACTATTACTCTTATTTTGGAACTCCGAGGAGAGTTCGGAAGAAACAGAAACGATGTGCATCAGAGGAGCATTCAAGAAGAAAGGAGCCTACTAATTAAATAAATGTTGACCTACTGATCATCATCACAATCACTGGAGCAAAAAGTCAGGAACATATATCCATCTAGCAAATATTCAGGAGAGAAAAGAATGAGAACAGGTTAACTTCCTGCATCATAACCCAGTGAAAAGTTCACATCTACCCTGATAAGCGTTCATCATTCCTTTGGGCTGCCTTTCTCAACCTGGGGACTACAACTCCCACCATCCTTATTCCTCCTATTGGATGGGCTTAACACAATCTATAAACCAAGAGAACTAAAAAGCACTAGGCTTAGAAATCCTTTTCAGGGCAGCTTCCTAACATTGTGATGAGCTGAAGCCTTGGGTCTGACAACAAGAATACACTCATATTTTCAGATAATGTAAACAATAAATTAAAAAGGATATCCAATTAAGACTGGAAGAAGTATAAATATAGATGATAACACTAAAATTTATTTATGCATTTATTTATTTAATGAATGAATGAATGGAGGCATAGATAATAAGAGTTCTACCATTTGGTAAAACTTTATGCTTACCTAGAATAAGCAAAGCACTACAGATGCAAATATCCCTTATACAGTGGTGCCTCGCTTAGCGATTGCTCTGCTGAGCGACGAAATCACTTAGTGATGCTGTTTTTGCGATCGCAAAAGCGATCGTTTTGCGATATTTCCTATGGGGAAAATTCGCTTTGCGATGATCGCGGGGAAGCAATCATCGCAAATCCCCCATTTTTGGCCAGCTGATCGGCGGTTCCAAAATGGCCGTCAGGGAAAAAATGGCCACCCGCTGTTTTGCCTCGCCTTAGAGGCACCGAAAATGGCCGCCGCAATGGAGGATTTTTGCTTAAGGTTAGTTTGGAAGTGTGTTTATAGGAACGCGTTAAACGTGTTTTAATGTGTTTCTATGGGCTTTTTAAAATCGCTTAGCGATGTTATCGCTTAGCAATGATTTTTGCTGCACGGACTAACATCGCTAAGTGAGGCATCACTGTACAGGTGTATCTTGGTGCTCCTTACATCCACTGTAAATTGCAGGTCAATGTCGTTTACATGATGCAAACGGTGGACTGCAGTTGAAAGAAGGTAACTATCTAAAAGCAGCCACAACATGACCAAACATTGATATGAACCAGAGATTTCCCAAGTAGCGCCAGCCCTACCATTAGACTGTCTCAAGGAGAAGATATGGGGTGTCATGAAATAACAGGGAACAGTTATTTAAGTTTTGACCAATTGTGTTTTGCCTACAGGAGCAGGGGGAGATGCTGTTGTATTTCCTGTCTCATATGCCAAAATGTTTAGGCAGGCTTTGAAGTACAATTCACTTTGACTTTGTGGGGCTGCACATCTGTGGCTTAGCATCAGGCAATAAAATGTCTTGGGACTGCTTTGTTTTCAGCTTGTACAACTGGTAGCTGTACAATCATACTGGTTTTCCATTTAGTAACCAATCTAAAAGGGAAGAGAAATAACAAAAAGGTGTACATGACTTCTAAACTCATCTGTGGAATTCACTGCTCCAGGATGCGGTAGACACCTGGGAATAAACACAGCTAGAAATAAGGCTTCAAATTCATGAATAATAATTAGTGATTTCTAGCTGTGAGAATACAAGCAAGCACATATTTAAGATTGCCAGTTTTGGAAAACACTGGCAGGCTCTTCACCCTTTTTCAGACCACACATTTTATTCCTCAGAAGCACCTCTCTCTACCACTTTGGTTACTGGTTCATACCAGAGGTAAGCCAAATATAGCTCTCCAGATGTTGTGGATGGCATCTCCCAACACGTCTTATTACAGTATTGGCTAAAACTGAATCGCAACTGCTGCTGAAAATCTGGGGGGGCTGCACTTTGCTACTGCTAGTAACAGAAAGTTAGCCTCAACACGTGTTCATAATAATTATTGCTTTGTCCTGAGCAAGCCCAAAACCTGATCACTAAAGTAAGACCAGATTACTATTACACACACCACTGCAATCTCTTTATTTAAGACAGCTAGAAAAAAATAACAGCAATCAGTCCAGTGAAGAGAGTACCTGGATCTGTAGATGTTCTCAAACTCCTATCAACCCTCACTACTGGCTGTGTTGGCTAAAGCAGGTAAAAGCTGCAGTCCAACATCTGGAGGGCCACCCACTACCTGCCCTGATTTCTTCTAACTTCATGCATGACGGATGCTATCAGTTTACATAAATACGGGAGGACATATCCTCCCTGAAATTACTCAAAAAATTTCAACCACATGGGTTGATTCAGGCATGTTGACATTGGAAAATCTTGTAACCTTGGAGTTCGGTAATACTCTAAATTGCTAAGGAAGAAAGCCATCTTTTCTAGGTTTTCCCAGCCATTTCACTAGTTACAGCCCATTTAACATTTAAAGCCACCAGGAACGAAGTTCATATCACCACACCCTGCTTCTTGGTCTGGGTGGCTCAAGTGCAACATAATTCTGGGGAACACCTTGTACAATATTGTACAACTTCTATTTAGTCATCATCATCATCATGGGCCATCAAGTCACGGCGTACAACTTCTATTTAGTCATCATCATGGGCCATCAAGTCAATTCTGACCTTTCAGAATTGACTTGAGGGCACATCAAGGCACTTGAAATTATCAGTATCAACTGAATAGGAAAGGCTTTGTAGAAAAATACCAACAGAAGGCAGATTCTCTGTGCCTGCATGAAACTGATGTATGTTTCAATTTACTTAGGCCTTTACTTCCACCTACTTAGCCTTTTACTTAATTTTTAGATATAGCACACTTTGCAAAACCAGACCTACCTAGTTTTCAGATTCTACTTTCAATACTCCAAGCTCCCTACATGTCATACAAAAAACTAGAAGCCTATTCTGTATATACCCATTATCCTAAAACATTCTAAATGTTAGTGAGGGTGGGGAGAGAAAGGAAAAATGGGACTTTAATGCAAAAATGAAAGGCTTGCGCTCCCCATCTTGAATGATCTTTTCCGGCTTTCTCTTCTCCAACTGTTTTTTTTCCCTAGAAGAGGCAAAAGCTGATTTTCCAAAACACGTGCTAGCTCTCTGAAGACAAACAGCTGCCAAACCAACCATTTGCGTACAATATTTACAGGCACTGGATGTACACCCATCCTAGAATCACACGGGGACGACACACAACTCCGTAAGAAAGACTCCAACAAAATACTCCTGGCTCAAGAGGCTGTCACACTTTTCCTGCAATTCTGCTCTAAGGTGAATAGGTGTGAAACACTGGCCTTCAGAAAAGTATTTGAAGTGTGTCCTGTATCAAGAAGAACACTGAATGTTCATCAGCCTCCCCATTTTGAGAGAGAGAGAGAGATAAATCTGAATTCTGGAGAGCAGAAAAAAAGGGAATCTCTGGTCTTTGTTTAAGAACACTGGACTATGAATGACAAAACCCAGGCACCTTCAGTTTAACCCATAAATAAATTACTTCAGATGCAGTTGTAATTTCCAAAGGGAAACTGAGCAACAAGTATAGGTACAGCTGTTGACTCAGAAATCAGTCCTGTCGAATTGCCTAAAATTTACTCCTGAGTGGGCTGATCTATAGCTGCAGAGCCGCAGGCATCCGATACAAATCAGCACATGCTTTGCAAACCTCAGTACACGGGTGCTTCTTGCTATGTTTTATGGAAGGGATGCTTCTTGTTTCGAAGCAGTGGAGAACACTGATGCTGGTAAAACGGCCTTAGGACTGCAGAACAGTTAACTTTAAGTGCCCATCGAAAGCAGCTCACATAACTTTTCCGGCAGAGTGCGACACTTCCAAAAGCACAAAGGTACAGCCATTCCTTGGAGGAGCCTCGTCCACGCACGATCCTCTACTTGCAAAAGGAATTTATAACTTTATATCCTTTATAAATTTATATCCTTTGCCATTCCCATACTTACAGCGCCGGGAAGGGTTATGCCTGCCTCGCGTGAGTTTTTGCATCAGCAGAGGAAAACTAGACTTAGAAGAGGCCTGAGGTACTGGCACGCAACTCAAAGTCTTCCATCGTAAAATCAGACAAGGAGTCATGCAGGCAAGGAAACGACGCGCACCATCCAAATTGCTACCGGGCAGTCCGGGCGCGTCAATCCGTTCGACTCCCGGGACAGGGAGCACATACTCTCCGGCTCCTCTCCTCATCCCCCATCTTACCTTTACCTGGAAGGGCTGGATCTCATTCAGACTCTGATTCCTGAGTTTCTTGGTCAGGATCTTGAGCATGGTACAAATCCAGAGAGCCAGGAAAGAGTTAAGCCTGCACTCGCATCTAGACCGGCGGCGGCGGCGGCGGCGGCTCTGGCTGAGCTCGCAGCGCTTGCTTGCGGGAGCGGAGGAGAGTTTGCCTTCAATCAATTCCAGACAGGTACACCCAACCTCTCTAGTTCTGGGGGTGGGGGGTTTGGAGAGCGCAGATCTTCACGCCTCCCCCCCCCCTTACAATACTCAGCTAGGTTTGTTTCGTGTGAATACGTTCCTGTTGTTTTTTTTTCGCCCTCTTGGCTTCAACGCCGACTTTTCCCCCCACCCCCAAAGTGCAAGTTCTTCCTTTGCTGCCTTCGCGGGCTTGCAAAGAAGCACACAACCTCCCCCCCAAGGTGGGGAAATTTAAAAAAAACAAAAAAAAAAAAAAAAACAGAGCCAGCAGGAGCAGCCGCTGAGATGCTTTCTGTCCTGCAAGAAGCAGAAGGAAAGATTTGGTGCAAGAGGAGTTGAGGAAGAAAAGCACTCCGGCCAGAGGCACGGCTCAGGCTCGGGCTCTAACGTGCCCCCAGCCCGGCCCGTTTTCTTCCCCTTTGCCTGCGGTTTCCTGGAGGCATAGCTGCCCCACTTTTCGCCTCTTCCTCCACCGCTCGCTCGTCTCGCGCACCGGTGAACCCCCCTCCCCTCCCTCCCTCGCTCATTCGCTCGCTCGCTCTCCCCCCTTGCCCTCTCGCTGTATGAAACTTGCCACGAGCAGAACACGCAAGCCGGGCGCCGATTGGCCTGCCGGAGCCGAGTGTGTCAATGATAGGGGGCGGAGCTTCCATTTAAAGGGAAACCAAAAGCAAAGAACAGAGAGAGAGAGAGAATGAATGAATGAGAATAAATGAAACAGAACGTCAACGACCGGCGACGAACGTCGTCCCTCATTTGTGTTGATCTGCCGGGTTCCCCTTTCCCCCTGCAGTTCCATCTCTTTAACTCCTGAAGTCTTTGCTCCCCAGCTCAGACGGCAAATCACTTAGAGGTGGCAAGAGAAAACAGAGTGCTGAGCCATTAGCTAATTCTTTCTTTCTTTCTTTCTTTCTTTCTTTCCATAAAATAGTTCTATCCCGCATTTCTCCCCAAAAGAACACAAGGCGGCTCACATCATTAAAAGTGTTTAAAAGCTAAAACAGTAAGTATACAAGTGTTAAAAAGGAATTAAACAAGTATTATATTAAAATTGTAACTAAGATCAATATTAAAAGACATTTAAAACAACAGAGCACAACAATCTATTTAAATCAATGTTAAATAAAATTAAGAATTAAAATTAATTAAAGTAGAAAATTTAATGTAATTAATTTATTTAAAATTAAATTAATCACCTCCTCTCCACTTCCACATTGCCTTGTTTTTGTCATAGCTGTCCCTTTTTCTCTGTGTTCAGCCAACATCCAACCAACATCTTTACAGAGTAATGAATGATAGAGGAAAAGCTAAACAGCACCCTTGTTTACTCCCATCTCATCAGAGATGCAAATATTACGAGCTTCCTCTGGGGAATTAAAGCCCTAAGCTGTTCATTACATGTCTTGCATCTACTAAGTTTTACTACTATTGCCTTTTTAAAAAAATTGAAAGTTACAGATGTGAGGGTCCAAGTTCAGGCTCCAGTTTTCCTTCAAATAAATTGACAGAACGGTTTAGAAATCGGTGTAACGTTTATTGGATTGTTTAACAAATAACCTGTGTCAACAAAGGTATTCCAACCATTTCCTTAACCTCCTTCTCCATTCCTTTGTCCCTTGTTCTCCCCAATAAGAGTGATTAGGGGTACTCTCCCTTCTCCTCCTTGCATCTGCCTCCTGCTTTGAGACTTTTAGTTTTTTCTATCTTCCCCGTCCATGGATCTTCTAACCAGATCAGACCTGGCCTTTTGAGGGGGAATCCTCTGGCCATAGTCTTCCGAGGGATCCCTCCACTGTAGCTCCATCATCTGCCATTCTAATCTTTCTCTCCTCTCTCTCTCTCTCTCCACCTTTTCCTTTTATTCCCTTAACCTCCTTCTCCATTCCTTTGTCCCTTGTTCTCCCCAATAAGAGTGTTTAGGGGTACTCTCACTTCTCCTCCTTGCATCTGCCTTCTGCTTTAAGACTCTTAGTTTTTTCTATCTTCCCCGTCCATGGATCTTCTAACCAGATCCACTCCCAACCACAAGGCAGGTTCCCGTCACCCCTTTTTATATCTACAAGCCCGGCCTCTACTTATACCCGGGGCTGTCGTTCTACTCCCGACAAAACATTCCCGCCTTCTTTAACAGTTATTCCTTTTAACTTTTCTTCTACGATCCCCGGGTCTGTTCCAGGTGATCTTATCTTCCTGGGAGGGGGAATAGGTGCTGTTTGCACTTCCTTGTTGGCAGAGGGCGGGAGGGATGGCACTCCTGTGTGAGGAATCTTGCTCTTACCATCAGTCTTACATGCCCCCCCATCTGAGAGAGCCATCCGTTCCACCTCGCTCTGTACCCAGGGACCCTGCTGAGAGAAATAATCCACGTTAGCATGGTCCCTTCCCTTCCTATATTGCACTTTGAAGGAGAATGGTTGAAGGGCCAGGTACCAATGAGTTAACCTCTGGTTGGTATCCTTCATCTGCACCAACCACTGTAATTGTGCATGGTCTGTGATCTAGGTAAATGGAGCCCCCAACAGGTAATACCTAAGGGAATGTGTTGTCCACCGAATTGCTAGGGCCTCCTTTTTGATGACTGCATATTTTCTTTCTCTTGGGGTCAGTTTCCGACTCAGATATAAAACAGGATATTCCACACCTTCATGCACCTGGGCCAGTACAGCCCCCAGACCCAAATCTGAAGTGTCGGTGAAAAGGGTGAAGGGTAGATTGAAATCCGGTGCAAACCTTGTGGGGAGCTCACACAAGATGGATTTGACAGTTTGGAATGCTTTATCTTGTGATTCTCCCCATCGTACTCATCTCCCAGCCTTTTTCCTAGTAAGGTCTGTCAAGGGAGCTGCCAAGGTAGAGAACTGCAGCACAAATTGTCAATAGTACCCAACAAGCCCAAGAAATTGCTGCACCCCCTTTTTGGTACAGGGGCGATACCATTGGTTTATTTTGGTGATCTTCTCTTCTTGAGGTTGAATTTCACCCCCTCCCACGGTGAACCCCAAATATTCCACTTTAGGAAGAGCTATTTTTCATTTCTTGGTGTTGGCAGTTAACCCTGCTCTCATCAATTCCCTTAACACTCTACATAAGTGAGTTACATGGTCTTTCCATGAGAAACTGTATATGATAATGTCATCAATATATGCTGTGGCACAATCCTGCACTGGGGCTAGCACCTGGTCCATAAGGCGCTGGAAGGTCACAGCTGCCCCATGCAAACCGAAAGGCATTTTTAAGAATTGGAAAAGGCCAATCGGGATGGAAAAGGCAGTTTTTTTCCTTGTCTTGTTCCCTTAGAAGTATCTGCCAGTACCCCTTTGTTAGGTCTATTGACAGAAGGTATCTGGTGCCCCCCCCCAGCTGGTCTAATAAATCGCCCACTTTCAGCATTGTGTATGCATCGAACTTGGACAGGGTATTGACCTTATGGTAATCTATGCAAAATCTTACTGACCCGCCCAGTTTTGGCACGGCCATTGGGTAGCTGCGCCAAGGCCCCTTAGCTGGTTCAATGACCCCCAATGCCAGCATCTCCTCTACCTCTTTCTCAATCGTGTGAGCTAGCTGTCTGGGCCAAGTCTGTCTGTTTGATCTCACCACCACACCTGGGGGAGTTTCAATATTATGTTCCACCCAATGTGTACTGAGAACACATTTGGGAATTCCCTTTCCAAGATTTGATCTAGCTGCCCTGGGCTTATCCGATCGTCCACCACCACCAATGGGATTTGGAGTTAACTCATTAGAAGGGGCCTCTGGTCCCAGCTCCATCTCTTTGCAGTCTCTGAATAAGGCCTTCCTATCCACCTACAACTTTAACAGATTTACATGGAGTACCTGCAGTTTTTTTCTTCTTGTCAACCATGTTTACCTCATAATCCACTTCACTGACCCAGCGGGTTATCTCATACGGCCCTTGCCATTTGGCAAAGAGCTTGGCTGACTCAGTGGGGAGCAATACCAACACTTTTTGACCCAGCTGGAATTCTTTGGGCCTCACCCTTCAGTCATATCATTCTTTTTAACCCACCTTTGCCCTACCCATGGCTTTCTTAGCCAGATTCCATGCTGTGTTCAAACTTTCCCTCAGATCCATGATCTGTTGTAGCACAGGTTTGGAGAGGTCTGACCCTTCTTCTCATTTCTCCCTTAGCAGGTCCAAGACGCCCCTGGGGTTCTTCCCGTACAATAATTCAAAAGGGGGAAACCCAGTGGATGTCTGGGGAACCTCCCTCACCGCAAACATCAAAGGGGCCAGGAACGTATGCCATTGCTTTGGTTTCTCTTGGACTAGTTTCCTGAGCATCCCTTTCAAGGTATTGTTGAATCATTCCACCAGGCCATTTGCCTGTGGGTGGTAAACTGACATCTTCATAGGCTTGACCCCCAACAGTTCCCACATCTGCTTAAAGGTTAAACTCATAAAGTTCGACCTTTGGTCGGTCAGTACCTCCCAGGGAAACCCCAGCCTGGAGAACACCCCAATTAATTCTTTGGCCAATACCTTAGCTGTAGTTGTGCCTAAAGTTATAGCCTTGGGGTACCTGGTTGCGTAATCGATGATCACCAGTACATATAAGTACCCCCGATTTAACCAGCAGTCCTACAATGTCTAGGGCAATTCGGTGAAAGGAACGGTCCACCAGGGGCATAGGCATCAGCTCTCCCCTGGGCTGAGGTTTTGGCTGGTCACTTGGCACTCTGGGCCTGAGCGGCAATAGTCTTCAACGTCCTTGCTCATGCATGGCCAGAAGAACCTCTGCTGAATCTGTGACAAGTTCTTTTGTACCACCAAGTGTCCTGCCATTGGCACGTCATGGGCCAGCTTCAAAACCATTCACCTTAGTCTCTCTGGGAACAGGAGCTGAGTTTCTTCCTCTCACTCAACCCTCCTGACCCAATACAGTATCCCATTCCTTTGTTCAAAATTGATTTCCCCTTCCTGAACGGTCCCTTCTGGGCCTGCTTTGAGCCGCACCTCATCAAGGCTCTTATCGTCCTGTTGCCAATTTCTTAACTGATCTTG